GAAATTACTGGGAGCTGCTATTTTATATTATGACTGCTTTTTAAAATTGTTTTTGTTTATGGATCTGATAAAATCTAGATCTCTAATATTTTTTAAGCCCAAGCCCCTTGGACACTACTGCTCTTTTCAGTTTTTGCTTACATACAATTCATTCTTTGCAGCCAATTAAGCTGGAGAAGCCTGGGAATAAAGTTTGAAACAGATTAATAAAAAAAAGAATAGTAGGGCTCAAAGAATATAGCTTCTCTTTTAAAGTTCCTCAAGTCAACAACTAGGACTGTGCCCCTGGCCTAATAAGGAAAATGAAAGAAACGAAGCCTTCATGGAGGAAAAGTGACAGTGTTAGACAAGAGGCCCACACAGGCTGTCCTAAGTGGGCTCTACATTACACCATGCTCACCGGGCAAGGCCAGTTTCACTACCCCCATGTCTGATCATGCTAAACTGCAGCTACTTGGCATTCTGAAGGGAAGGCATAACCCTGGCCTGGCTTTAAGAGGAGTGCACTGTGAAGAAGCCAGATAATGTAACTGTTCAACAGGACCTGTCATTGTCACCTGCAACCTGCACAAAGGCCACAGGCAACAGGCTAGCTAGCTGAGGAACCTAACATGAGATGGAGGTTTCACATACCCTTTGTGCCACAAACCCAAGGACCAACAGGAAGGTCTCTCATCTCCATTACCTTGTGTATCAAATCAGAGATAACGAAGAGGACTTTGCATTTGCCAGTATCTTTGTCCAAAAATCAAGGTGATTAATGGCGACTTTTGATCCCAATCTGCACCCACCAAACTCATCACTCCCAATATTCTGCCTCAATTCAGCGGGATGGGGGACCACTGAAATTAGCTGTTCACATTTCATTTAGCTGTTTCTGCCCTCCCTCAAACAAACTTTATCTTGAATTTTATGTGGCTACTGCTCCCCTGGGAGCTCCTTAAACCTCCCCAGCTATACCTTCCTGATGGGATGTCAGGCAGCTTCAGTCAGGCTGGTGGGATCAGGCCCGGCTGGGATGAAGCTACCCTTGCAGGTAGCAGTAGTGAGACTTAGGACAGCCAGCATGGCCTCTTATCTAACTCCACCTTGTTCTCCACTTGGCTTTCTTCCTGGAGGTGTGGGGGTAACAGGGAATGGAACTCAGGACCTCCTGCTTAACAGGCAGGTGCTGTGCTGCTGAGTGTTTGTCTTTATTTCTGTGCTGGCTCCATTTGTCTTTATTTCTGTAAAATATTTGCTTCGCCATTTGGCAGACAAAACAAACAAAGCAACTTCCAACTTAAACCCAAAAAGGTGGTTTGCAATGGAAGTTTGATCCATTGCTAAAACACCCCTACTTTCTAATTTGGGGCCCATCTAAGCACCCTTGCTCAGAAAGAGGGAAGTTGAGTACCCTTTTCGGGGCTAGCTCAAGTGGGGAAGCACAGTCACCTTTAGACACAGTATCTGGAATAAAATCTACAGACACAGGGAGGGCTATGCCCCCCCAACCCAGCACCCTGGGGCAGCCCACCTCCGCAGGCCCC